CCCCCTGGCATAACAAGGAATAACGGCCACAAGTTGTTGGAGAGTAGGTTTAGATTAGACATCCGTAAGAACTACTTCACAGTTAGGGCGGCTAGGATCTGGAACCAACTTCCAAGGGAAGTGGTGCTGGTTCCTACCCTGGGGGTCTTTAAGAGGAGGCTTGATGCCTACCTAGCTGGGATCATTTGAGCTCAGTTTTTTCTCCTGCCCTGGCAGGGGGTTGGACTTGAAGATCTATAAGGTCCCTTCCGACCCTACTTCTATGATTCTATGATTCAATGTGTAGATGTGCCCAATGAGGTGGATCTTGCCCTAGAAGGGAGGAGGCTCTGGGTTCAAGCATGGACTCTTGTTCCCACTGTGTCAGAAACTTCCTCACTCCTATCCATACATTTTATCCAATAAAGGTTAGAACAGATTTTGCATTTGTCCCTAGATAAGGTCCTCTTGTTTAGCTCAGAACAAAAATATCCTGCAATCGGTGTGTATACACATTACATCTCTAATCAGGATTTAGTGAGTGGATGAATAGAATGCTGCTTTTCTGCCATTGATTCAATGTTGTGATCCCGGGATGTATTTTGAAATATACCAGGATAAACTGTTTCTACTTCTTACCTGGGAAACTTTACAATTTATCCAGGGAAAACAGACCTAGACATCTGTACAATTGCACTTTGTCTTGGGATAAGTGTGATGTCCATGTGCAGCCTGACTGTTAAATGCAAGGTGTAGCAGCTCAAAAGGTGCACGGAAGAGGAGAGTAGATAATATCTTACTTATGGTTAGAACATTTTCCTGGGCACTGAGACAAGTAGGTTCAAACTCCCACCTATGTGAGAAGGGTCTAAAACCTGGGTCTCCCATTCTCTTGCCAAGAGCCCTGGGAAGAACTAAGCTATTGTGCTAAAGCACTGAAAGCTTCCTAGCCACAAACAGCCATGATAAGTTTTTGCCAAACTACTATTTTCAGAATTGCCTGGCTTTATGGGCACACCGGAGTTAGTGTATGATGTACCTGCCTGATCAAAACAGTCCTGCTGGGCATGCTCAGTAAGCATGTGTGCACCTGTACATCCTGTGCTGTATCATAAACTGTGCATAAGTGCCAAAATCTGCAATTCTGTGATGATATAACTGCCATCTGGGTTCTTATAGTGAAATAGGATTTTGCCCTTATTACCTAGGATATGTATTACTACCCCTCTGTGAGCTATAATCGAAAACAGATAATGTTTTCCTCAACGTAAGTGAAAACACATTTACTTTTGTAAAGTTGTATTTATAAGTGTAAGACTGACTGCTGAAATTTTCAAGCAATGTGGTGACAGCGGTATCACCAGGTTGGGACTAAACCGAGGACAGAATGTAGTTGCTGGAGCTTTGACAGCAGAAGCACCATTTATAATCACAATCTACTACTCTGCTGTGGTTCGACCTGTTATTAACACAGAACAGTTTAAGATATCAGGTCTTTGCTCTCATGTCTCACATCTTGCTTTAGATGTGCTTAATATGGCATCCCTACGTTCTGTTGTACCATACTTTCTTTCATACAATATGTACCTTTTCCCCGCAAAAAACAGCTGCTGAAAATTAGAGTGTGCATTATGTGTGAGAAATACAGTAAGAGCAGGTTCTGCCTTACCAGGCAAAACCAAAATTAATATCTGCAGTGATCCTTAAGGAGCAAAAGAATTGAGCAGGCTCAGCTGCTGCTACTCAGTTCCTTACTACAAGGAAAGATGTCTTTATCTTCATTGTGCCTTTCAGAAGCAAGATGTGTACTATATTCTGGGGTATGTCATATGCAAGAAAATACAGTATTCTGTTCTTTAATCAAAACTGGGTGAAGAAATGTGATTTCAAACTCTATAAAGAATTATGGGTGCAACCGTGAGGTTCAGGTCTGTCAGTATTTGGTTCAGTTTATTTTGCAAAGGTATAATGGGATGTTGTAAAACTGGCTCAGATATTGGGAACTGCATTTTTTAAATAACACTTTAAAAAGCAGAAAAGTATAAATGAGGTAAAACACAATTTAATTAAAACAATATTTATTCAAAAACTGGGAAAATGCTTTCACACAGTTCTTATAAATAACCATGTCTCTGTTTTTGATTTTCACTAGTTATGTCCCCAGTACTGGCCAGAAAATGGAGTGCACCGACATGGTCCTATTCAAGTGGAATTTGTATCAGCTGATTTAGAGGAAGACATAATTAGCCGAATATTCCGAATTTATAATGCAGCCAGAGTAAGGACCTTATTTACCAAATACAATAGTCTTATCTGATTAAATGGAAAAACCACTAAGGTCACATGAAGCAAAAGATAAACACCCATGCAGCAGCTCACTTTCCACAGCCTGCAAAATGTTATAAATATAGAGCTCATACATATAATCAGAATAAGTTCACATATATGTAATCAGAGGAGAAATATTGCTTCTGCCAGATGTATTTGTTATGTTTATTAAATGTAAATGAGACAAATGCAGCATTGAAATTGTACTGTTAGTCAGGAAATCATAAAATCAGTGTTGTTACATCAGTGTTAACTCAGGCATTCTGCACATTTGTATATGTGGTTATGCATGTAATACTTTCTCCATCATAAAAACAGTGTGTTCAAACTTAGTGAATAAACATAGCCAGAAATAAAGGTTAGAAAAAACAGCTTGTGGACATATGGCTTCAGTGGAAGAAATCTGACCTAAATTTTCAATACTAAATATTGATTAATTTAGGTACCTTAATTTTTATTTTCCAGCTTGCCTCACCTTAGAGCAGTTGGATTCTTACAAAGTGTTGGTGCATCAGCTTTCTGAAAATCAGTCCCCCTTAAGATGTCCTAAGTTAGGACCCCAAAACTCACTTGGCCTTTTTTAAAGACTATAGGTTTTGCATCTTTTTTATGCTTATGCTTGAAGAATGCATCTTTCTGTACTTAATTACCTGACTCTTTAACTACAGAAAAGAAGGCAGGTGTGTTTCTTATGTTTCTGACCCATACCAGGTGTGTGCACGCTGCTTTAAATGCACTAGTTAATATGTGCACCTTCCAAAGAAATAATTTAAAGAGGTAAGATGCTTACAGTTTAGTACTGCTCCCATGTCTCCATAAAATCAGCAGCAGGGCTAAGTACAGACATTCAAAAAGCCCAAGGCTGAATCAGTTCAATCTTTGCAAGTTAGTCTAAGCTGAACAGATTGAACTGATAAGCAAGTGAACAGACCTTCACTTTTGATTCCAGAAATACAGGCACATGCCTGCAGTAGCCCATGCCAGAACCTGGGGGTGCTAGAGCACATCCTGCTAGGTGGGAACAGACAGCTTGGGCCAAGGCTAGCCTACCCACCCTGCAAGGGGGAGTTGCAGGTGAGGTACAAAGCATCCTAGGATGCTGGGGGACTGTGAGTTAACTTGAATCTAGAGGGGATCTGGGACAAAAGTTCAATAAACTGATTTAACCTAGATCAGTGAAGTCTGATACTACATCCATCCACGTTTATGTTAAACCTGTTTCAGCCATTTTGAAAGTGGTTAATGTGTACTGAACTTCTGTTGTGTTACAGATTTGAACCAGTTTCTGATCACTTATACTATTTTATGTGTAATTTCTGTCCCTAGCCCAACGGAGCAAATAAGACATCCTTTCCCAGCCCTTAGGCAGTAGATCAGCCATCCTTTCTCATCCATACAGAGCGGTCTCGTGGAATACGCTGAGACTGCCCTTCAAGTGAAGTGAGAAGCCATCCTCAAGAGAAGTGAAGAGATAGGCAGCATTCCATAGTTAGTCAAAAAGGTCTGGGTCAGTCAGGGGCCCATTGAGAGCCAACCGCTGAAAAAGGCTGACAAAATATATGGGACACAACTTCCCATACCAGAGAGCCAGGATGGAAGCCAGCAGACTCCCAGTAATCTCTACAGTGTAAAAACCCAAGCATCCAGGAAGTGTTAACAGATGTATGTGTTTTAATAATCCCTGGTCACATCTACACATGCAATTAATGCAAAGCCATAAACGCTGGTGCGTATTTTGTTAGAGTTTATTGTTCCCAGGTGCGCCATTTGAACATGTACCCAGGACTGCAGTGCATTGAGCTAGGTTGGAGCAGCCCTGGCTGGCAGGGGCCCTGGGGTTCAGCCTGGCAGCCCAGGGCTGCTCCCCCCAGTTCACTGTACTATGGAGGGGCTGGCTGGGGCATGAGGGAGCTCCACTGTGGGGCTAGCCAGCAGGCAGCAGGCTGGGGCAACTTCTACGTGTGTGCTGCTGCGGAGTAAAAAACTCCGTGCAAGATATTACTTGTATTTACATGCTGATTTACATGCTAATTGGAGAGGAGGGGCAGTTACTGGAAGGGCTGACCAGGGGAACGGGCAAAGCCCATGTACAGGCACAGATTACATTGCCCCAGTTCTTCTATATTTGAAGTGCCAATCTGACTTGCATCTATTCCAACTTTTTATAACATAGCTCATATTGTTATATTGCTGACACTTTCATATATCATTAAATGTAAAAATGGTACTTAAATGTGGTCACTTTGCATGAAAGTGAAAATGCTAAATAATCTATAATAGCATTTTGTCCTCTGCCTACTTATTGTGCCCTTTAAAGATTACCACAATTTTGTAACGCTTACCCTTTTCCTTTCCCTTCTTTTTTAATCAGCAGAGCAAACTCCTGTTCAGAAGGTTTTCCACCAGCAGGCTTCAAACTTCAGCTCTTTCAACAGAGTGCTGCAATTAGATGTTTTTTAACAGGAGAAATCCATTTGTTCACTCTTACCTGCTTCAAAAATGACTTGAAAGGATTCACTCAAACTATCTTTAAAAAAAATAGCATGGAAATATGGAAAGGTTTTTCATAAACCTGGATGTTATGATCTTGGGGGAAAACAAAGATTAAAATGAAATTGTACTGCAACCTACATTTGGCTATCAAGTGCCTGCTGTAATATTAATTCATTATTCACCTGCCTCTTGCAGCTGTCCCATTGTTCTATTCTAGTCTATGTGTATTCCTTCTATTTAAAACATCTGGTTCTTAATAACCCTGCTGAAGATTAAAACCCATAACTCTCAAGGGCAGTTGAAATTACTTTAGTAATTTGTCAGCCAAGATCTGCTTCAACAACTTTTCACATTGATGAGAATGCTTAAATTATATACCATTGAAGACAATATAAGTATTGCCTTGTTTTTTTCCTTCTTGTTGGTTGGATGTTTGCAGCCCCAAGATGGATATCGGATGGTGCAACAATTTCAGTTCCTGGGATGGCCCATGTACAGGGATACTCCAGTGTCCAAACGCTCATTCTTAAAACTTATCCGTCAGGTGGAGAAATGGCAGGAAGAATACAATGGAGGGGAGGGACGTACGGTCGTACACTGTTTGTAAGTAGTTGAAATGAAAGTAAACAAGCAAGGGAACAATATGAAGAGATATGTATGTTGGGTTTAGAAAGCCTTGCAAAAGAATATGAGACATCCATGTAATTAACCCATGAATTTGGAATTGAAGTACATAGGAGATCACTTCAACATTGATCAGCATTTGTGTGAATTTGGGAATTTCCATTAATGTTCTTTGGAAGAACCCTGGAAGCCTGTCACCTGAGGGCCCCATGTGCAGGTCTGAGGGCCAAAAGTTTCCCTGTCTATGTAGGGATGATTCTGAGTCTGTATACACAAATGTGTATGTACACATGCCCCAGAACATACATTTTAAAAAACCCTGACCTTTAAGAAGGCAAAATGCACTTTTCCCCCACAAATTAAGAATGCTTGTCATCTGGCATTCATAACTGGCACAACAAAATTAAGACAAAAGTAGATTGAGTAAAGCCATCTCCAGACACAAACAACCACACTATTTGAGAAGTGATAAACTAAGGAGGAGGATCTAGTTAAAAATCAATCATTGACATATATTTTATCACGGCAGCATAATATTTACCAACCTGTGTCCCAAAATGTCTATGCTCATCTGCTCTATTCCATTATTTTGTCTGTTCCACTATCCGTCTATTAGGATGGGTTCCTTGCAACATGCCCTCAACTAGCTGTAATTGCAGGATTGAATCTTCTGTACCTGAAGCTGGAATTCAGCTGTTCAAATTAGGTGCTTGTTTAAAAGTGTTGTCCTGGTTAAGGATGGGCTTAAGCACATGCTTAAGTGCTTTTATGAATTGTGACCTAGATTAGAAAATAAAGTTCTTACAATTCTTATGTGTAATAGAAATTGGAAACTAAAGAGGTAAATATAAAAGTTTCTCTGTATTTACCAACATTACTGACTTGGACAAGTCATTTGGCATCGTTCGTACTTCAGTTTCTCCATCTGTAGAATGGGGATAATAATATATACATCAAAGGAGTATTGTGCGGTGTAACTAATTAATGTTTTGAGATCTTCAGCTGAAAGGCCCTTTTGAAGTGCAAATTACTGTTATCTCTGCAGTTGCTGATGATATTAATAGTTGTACAACATCACACACACGTCACTTCCAGGCAGCAGAGAAAGAAAGGGCTCTAATATAATCCTTTTATATTACTTTATTTTAATTAAAATTCTCAGAGATTCCCACAATATCAGCCAATGTTTTGGCAGCAGAGAGCATTCTTTTCATACTGCCTGGATGTGACAGATGTGCGACATAGTGGCTTCCTTTGAAAATCAACCATTTGCTGGTTTGAAAGACCTGCTAGCTAACTAGTCTGCACTCTGGTAATTATTAAGGTTTATTATTTTCAGGAAAGTGCTGCTTAAAGACTCTGATTAGAATAACTGTAAAAATAATAGGTTTTCCAGATTCTCTTGAAGATTAAAAATAACTGAAGATAAAGCATTATTAAATACTGCATTTGATCATACAATATGAACATTTGCACCTCACTGTTTTATTAGCAAATCTTTTTGGGTTCTCAGCCTCTGAAAATGTAGGTGGAGGGGGAACACAAGCAGTTATAATAGCAGTCATTCCTATGGAGCTGGTACCCCTACCTAGTGGCACAAGGGTCATGCCATACCTAGAGGAATATTGCAGCACCACCTAGTGGTGTCAAAACTCTAGCTAACAAAACAGGTTACACGAAAGATCGGGCAGGTCTTTTATTATTCTGAGATCCTCTGAGATTCTCAAGTTCAAAAGTAAGGTGCCATCATCTAGAACAGAAACATTTGAAACCAGTCCCAAGCCAAACTTCAAAATCCATGAATTATTTGAACCCTTTTGGGTATTATTTTCACTTCACTATGATGCCATGCGAAGTGTCAAGGGATATTGTATAGGATGTGGATATGCATAGCTTTTTTAACACCTCTTTAGGCAGACACAAACACTACAGCAAAACTGAAACACTGTGTTACCCATAGCTCTTCCCCAAGGGTGGTGTATTCTGAAATGGACATTTTGAATAATTTAGCCCATTATTCTCACTTAGAAATGGTAGCCCTGTTAGAGTCTCCAGGCTTTAGGGGCATTATTATTTATTGGTGCATCAATATTTGAATTAGTTCATTTTGTAAAACATTCAGACACTACAGGAACTAGTAGCATACAGTCAAAAATAACGGAGCCATTTTATCACTTTTATTCTAGAAATGGAGGTGGCCGCAGTGGGACGTTTTGTGCAATCAGCATTGTTTGTGAAATGCTTCGACACCAGAGGGCAGTTGATGTATTCCATGCTGTGAAGACACTGAGGAATAATAAGCCTAACATGGTGGACCTTCTGGTAGGAGATTTTTAACTGTACCACTAAATAGAAAAGGTTCCTTATTATCATAAGACTCAGTGAGATTTCCAAGATTTGCAGTGGGAGTTGTTCACAAAGCAAGCAAGTCATTTTCAAAGAGGATAATGAAATCACTTTACTTGTAAGAGTATTTTTACATTGCTTTCTTCCCAAGGAGACTTTGTCTATGTTCATTTGAATTTTCAAAATAGTTTAAAACTTTCTACAGAACATCCTTATTAATTTTATTTTCTAGCAGGGCAATCCATGTGGAGAGCAGTACTTGCACAGAGGAAATAATAGTCATGTAAAATGAAATGCCAGATTTTCAAATTATATATTTTATAAATAGCTTAATCGCCTAATATTTATCAGAGTCATGAATTTCAGTTTGACATCCAGAATACTGCATTTAATTATGGTGGCTCTATCTCATAGAAAGATTAAAGGAGTTCAGAAACAAAAGGCCATGTGCAATTATTTTCATAGAGAGTGTTCTGTGAAATCTTTTTAAATGTAGAAGTGCTAAAGTAGCAACTTCTGTGATGCAAGAGGACAGCTTAAAGCAGCAGGTATTATATTCTGGTATGTAGTTCTGTATTTGAAGAAGGATGTATAATACCACCCAATATAGCTGAAGGCTGCTAGTGGACTTTAAATGTGCACTGCCTTTAAAGCACCTAGTCATAGACTGTGGTTTTGGGAAAGCTGGCAGGCTTTGAACTCTCACTGGCAAGCGCAGGATCTGTGCAACTTAAAGAATCATAACTTAGCTGGAGTTCACTGTTAAGCTGTGGTTAACACAGGTTCACTTGATTGGATCTGAACTGTGTTTGGGTATCTTTTTTTTTTTTTTGCAAAGTCCCCAGGAAGGAGGCAGGAAAAAATGTCAGAAATGTGACAATCTCTACCTTTACCTCCCTGTATTCTTAGGAGAGAATTCTACCCCCAGTGTGAGCTAAGATGTTGAACATCTTGACAGTAGGGGTTTTGCAAAACTGTTAATGGGCGATGATGGGCCAGAAGGAGGAAAAGTTTCTGGTTTCTGTGTAATGGGCCCAGGTCCACGAAGCCTGCAGCACCTACCTGTCTTATGAAGGATCCCCCCCTCCACAACCGTGAATTTCTAGTCTCTTCTCCCAAGCAAGGCACCAAAAAGAAGGATGTTATATACATCTGGAGTCAAACTTGGAACTAAGCTGAACCCACATTGTGCTAGAAGCATGAGATGCATGCACAGGGGGTGAGACCTGGCACTGTGGAGTAGAAAGATAGTAATGTAAGAGTCTCAGCCCTCCAGAAATGAAGAGGCTTCCAGCTTTTGCCATGGGGGTGGGGGCAAAGTTCTTTTAGCTCCTGTTCCTCTGTTCAGAATTCTCAAGAGAATATTTCCCAGATATAAAGAGAACTGTCTTGCTTTCCTATTCAGGTAATGCAAATTTAGATAGGTATACCTAGCATGCCTGCTGTTTTCTGGTCTCACAGAGCTTATGCCCACAGATCTTTGCACCCCCTCATTCATTCATTTTACAGAAGTAAAGATAAAATGACTTGGGTGGAAATGGACAATTGAAGAAAACACTGTCTGTAGACAAGGTTTTGTAATGGTCCTGCAGGGGTAGATTTCTCAGGCAGCCTTCTGCAAACATACCACTGCACTGATTCACACTTTGCTGTGGAAGATATTTTGTATTATTTGCTATCAAATAATAAGTATTTCCTTCAGTATGTAACAGTCTTTTATCAAATAGGTATAAAAAGAGAACTAACAGGTTCTGATGTACCACTTTTTGTCAGCAGATCTCAAAGTGCTTTACAAAGAAAGTCCATATCGTTACCTCCATTTTTCAGATGGGGAAGCTGAGACAGAAAAGTTATTTGATTTGCCCATCATTACCTGGCAAGCCAGATGCAAAACTAGAAAGAAACTCAGGATTGCTAAATCTTAATCCAGTGCACTGTAAGATAATGTAGCAGTAGCTCAAGGGAATTCATTTTAAAATGTTCTTGGGAACCAACACTATTTACTGATGAAAAGAGAAGTCAGGAGATCTGGGATCCCTTCCTGATGCTGAAACTTGCTGTTTGCTGTGTGAAGCTGGTTGAGCTAAGGTCTCTACCTCAGTTTCCCCATCTGCCATTTGAGGATAATAATGCTAACCCGCCTTTGTAAAATACTTGAAGGACCTCTGACAAAAGACCATCTATACAACCTCAATATTAGGGCTACATGAGCATTTTTTTTTCTAGGCTTGCTTTCTAAAATTATTGCACTGTGTATTTTCCAACTGGACCAGGGATAGTCTTTATGGTGCATTCTTACAGATTCATCTCTTAATTGCTTTCCAGCAAGTATAATATTCTAAATGCTGGTTTCATTTAGTACAGCAAATACATGAAATTCTGTAGTCATTATATGTGTAACACATCTTAGAGCATATTTACTGACAGATGTCGAAAGAGTTTCAGAAATGTTGGGGGGGTGGCATCTACATATGCCATTACAGGGCAGCAATAGATAGTGGAGTGTATTGCTCCGCAGTTTATTGCTCCTGAGAAGCTTCCAGGCGCACGTCTGCATGTGTACCTGGACCACAGCTGCTCTGACCAGGCTCAATGTGCTGCAGAAGGGCTTGCTCAGGCACAAGGGTGGTTCAGCACAGGGCTACCCAGCAGGCATCTACACTTGCGCTGCTGCATGCGTTTACAAGTCCTACTCTGCTGCGGAGTTTATTAGTATTGTGTGCCCTAATAGGGGCACACCTGTAGACACTGAAACGTTTATTACGCAGTTACTTAATCAAGTGCGCACTAAACGTCTCGTGTAGATGTGCCCAGGGTCTACCAATATGAGGCCTATAAATATTTCTTTCTGCAGCTGGATCCCCTGAAGAAGCTTTAAATATCTGTCATCTAACACAGGGACAGGTAACGTTCTTTGGCCAGAGTGCCAAAAAAACCCACAATGCCTACCTTGGAAGGTGCCAGAGTGCCAGCATGCCAGAAAAATAAAATGAGGGCAGGGGGTACATGGCAAGATACCCTTCTTGTACCCCTTACCCTCCACCCAAAGCCCCTGCCCCCCAGCCCTGCTCATGACCTTTGCCTCCCACCCAAAGCCCTTGCCCCCCAACCCTGCTGCCCCTGCCCCCCCAGCCCAGGCTCTATGGCTGTCAGCAGCTACGCAGAACCTGGGCCAGCTGCAAACATCTGCTGCCTCTGCCCTGGCCCTGGCCCTGGCCCCAGACCCAGACCCAGACCCGGCCCCGGGCTCTGGGGAGGCAGCACATACTGGTGATGCACCCCCTGTGTGCTGCCCTCACCACTTCTGCAAAGCAGCGTTGGAACCCAGTGCGGCGGGGCACAGCGGGGGGTACAAAAAGCTGGCTGCTCCGAGCTCCCCGCTGCCCTGCCACAGTTCTCCTGTGTGCACAGGAGCAGCGTGGGCAGCAGCACTGGGTTGTGCCCCTCACTGCTGCCCCTACCTGCAGGGAAAGTGTGGCAGGACAGCGGGGAGCTTGAAGCAGGCAGCTTTCTGTGCCCCCTGCTGCGCCAGGTTCCAACACTGCTTTGCAGAAGCGTCGAGGGCAGCACAGTGGGGAGCATCGCTGGCATCTGTTGCCTCCCCAGAGCCTGGGGCCAGGTCTGGGAGGCAGCTGAGGCCAGGGCCAGGGCTGGGGCAGAAAGGCAGCAGATGTTTGCAGGTGGCTCAGGTTCTGGGTAGCTGCTGATAGCCACGGAGCTCTGGCTTGCAGTAGGGCTTCCATGGGAGCAGCCCAGGTTCCGTTACTATCAGCAGCTAGCCAGGGCCGGGGCCAGCTGCCGATGGGAGGCTACAAACAGCTGCTGCCCTCCCGCTTTGGCCCCAGCTGTTTCCTGGCTCCGGGAAGGCAGCAGGTGCCAGCACTGCACCTGTTGGGGCTGGGGCTGGGGCCGGAGCCAGGGGGGAGGAGGCAGCAGCTGTTTGTAGCCTTCCGGCTGCAGCCGGCGCTGGCTCTGGGTAGCTGCTGATAGCTATGGAGCCCAGGCTGCTGCCAGCAGGGCTTGCAGCATCCCAGCTGCCTGCTGGGAGCAGCCCAGGCTCCTGGCTAACAGCAGCTACCCAGAGCTGGGGCCGGCTGCAGCTGGGAGGCTGCAATCAGCTGCTGCCTCCCTGGCTCCAGTGTAAGCTGAGGAAAATGGCCTCGCGTTCCATGCTCGGCATGCGTGCTGGGGGTTGCCGACCCCTGATCTGATGAATAGTAAAATGTACAAAGGATGCACAGAAGTGAGCATGGTGAGAAATAACAGCATTGATTCTATTATGAAGTTATCTAGGTATCGCATTTACTAGAAATAATAGCTAGGCTGCTGAATCAGCAAATCACTAGAGAAGGATGGAAATGGATGGTCAGCTGATCACTAATAATAGCATCACTGTAATATATTTAGCAATATATATGCAATTAAGAATAAAAAATAATAATTGTGTTAAGATTTCTTCATTTGTTTCACAGTCAAAAGAATATACCATAGCTGATATGATTCTGCTGTGTCTTAAAACCTGTAGTACACCTCAGTCACAACTCTGTGGAGGTCAGCTCCTGAAATTTTGTTCCTTAACTTTTTAAGTTGCAGTTGCAAATGGAAGCATCAGGAAAATGCATGTTTGTCCTAAACGGTCTTTCTCGGCTCTGGCTTCAGAAACAGCTGTAGAATTTTTAAAGTATTCTCTTCTTCATAAACTTTCAACTAAGTTACATGAGTGAGTTCAGCAGACAATATATAGAATCCCTTTAAATTTTTGCTTCAGCATAATCGTATCCTTTTCAGTCCTGGTGTTCCACATAAAGGGAAAGGCTGAGCTGTCAGCTAGTTGCTGTTGTTATTATTACTACACAATAGCACATGTCCTGTTGTATTTTCTTACGTAATTAAAGTGCAGGGGAGAGAAGCAGTGCTTACTTCAGGGAGAAAAAATGGAATACATTCTACTAGGCAGAACTTTCCAAATTAAATTTTGGAACTCAGAACTGTTCAAAGTTGGAACTTAAGGAATAACGTGTTGTTTTGACTGTTTTTTTGTTGCATTTAAATATTTACTGTTGCACAAAATAAAGTAAAAAATCAGCAGAAAGTATTTTTCCAGGGTTTCTTTGTAAAGATGGATGCAAACCATGTAAAACAGTAATGCTCAACTTTCTGATCCCCCCTGGCCAGATGAGTGGTGCAGGGCTGGTCTGTGACCTGGATTTAGCCCCACCACAGTCTCATCCAGCTCCTGCACATCTGGGTTGGCGTAATATATACTCCAGTAATGTTGTTACCACTTTCCCACCACCAAATTTTCAAACTTATGGGGGTACCTGTGGGCTGGACGAGACAACCCCAGGGGCTGGATCTGGGCTATGGACTTGGGGGTCCAGCACCCCTGATATAACACATGCAGTTATTACAGCCTGTACACTTAGAAGAGTCAGGGCCAGACAAAATCATTGGCAAGGGCAGGGTAGGGGATGGGGTTGTTGCTCTTCCTCCATTGGCATGCCAAGGCGTTTCATGTGAGATTATGCCCAGGTTTGCCCTTAGTTACACATGGGGCAAACCAAGGCTCCACATCGCCGTAATACAGACCTGTGTCTGAAGAGACAGGGTCTGGTAGTTGAAAATATACCTTTGCGACAGCAAAATTGACTGCTTAATATATGTGCTTCAATGTAAGAGAAGTAGGAACTGGAGTGTGGGTTTCCAGGGATTTTAAATGTTGTGTAATTTTGGTAATAAAAGGCTTTTCATCTGAGATGTAATGAGTTCCTGGACAAAAATAAACGTAAAGTTAAGAACTGGAATATAGCAAAGAGCTGGCCTTGGCCTCTTTTAACATAAACACGGCCATGAGGGAATTCCAGTTTCTACTTAGTATGAACTTTTTGATAGGTGCTGAAGATTTAGAGGTCAGTGTGTTTATTTGTCATCAATATTCCATATATGTTAGGGTACCCAAATACACTATTGTATGGTATGATAAGCAGTGTTTGTTACTGTATGTACCATTTATTGATTGGTTATTATGAGGGACGTCTTAGCTCAGAGGTTGTCAACCAGGGGTACGTGTACCTGCTGGGTACTTGAGAAGGCCCTAGGAGGTGCACATGGCGGGAGGGACAGAACTCGGCCATGCACCATGCCATGCTGCCACAGGCGCCACCCACCCACCTTGATTTGGGGGGGAAGTTCTCATGCAGTGGCTGCCACCCCCCACATCTGCTCTGCGTCCAGCTGCCAGGGGTATGCTACTCTGCGTCCGGCTGCCAGGCGAACACTGATCCAAAAAGGTTGAAAACCCCTGTCTTATCTGAATACAGATTGGTTTTGTACAGCAGTTGTTGACCATGGCTGATGGTAAATAATTTTTAAAGAAGAGAGATACTGAAATCCTTAATTTATTTCTGTGGCTGACCTGGTGATTTTCTTCTGATTTTTCAGGATCAATACAAATTCTGCTATGAAGTGGCTTTGGAATACTTGAACTCTGGCTGATATTACAAACGGCACTGACAAAACTCCTTTCACCACCACAAAACAAAGCAAATCGTTTCATGATGTTTGTGTACATGAGATGAAGACTTCTCAGTGTTATGCTTATATTGCTTTGTATTATTGGCTCTTTTTAAGAGCCCAAGAAAATGTTTATAAAACTGCTTGCACTGCCCATTTTCCACTGTAATGCCGCTGCTTGACAACACATACAAACATATACACAAACTTGTACAGCAGTTGTTGGATACTGCATTCATACATAGTCATCAATGTGGTGGAGCAGCATAGTCATCTGGTAACTTAAAGAGCACAATTATATTCTTATGAAGGAATTTGTACTTTTCTGTTATATTTTGTTGCCTGTGATCCTATGTTATTGTCACAACCTAGTGTACATTTCTGTTTCGTGAAGAATGCTGTCTAGCATTTTGATAATATTTGATTTTAGTTATATTTGTATTCTAACACGTGCATAATAAATGAAGCATATGTAGCTTATTTGAATTAATAGATACACATGTACCAAACCATGTTATCTTTGTTGAGTTGTAGTTTCTATATACTTTGTAACATTTCAGAGGGAAATTACTGATAGAAATACCATTAGAAAATGCAAAATACAGGATGCTCAGATTAATATATCCAAAGCTTTTTCATTTGTTTATATTGTAAATATATTTGATTTCATCAAATTATTTATTCATTAAAAGAAAAATTTTGTGAAGCACGGTGAGTGACAATCATTTTTATTAAGCCCTGGAGATGCTTACTGTATGATATTGTAAACATTTGTTTACCTTGTATGGATCCTCAGCTCAATAAATAATTACATACATGATAATATCTTGTTTAATTTATAGTATCTCATGGCATGTAATTGAACCCCCTAAAGAGCTCAGTTCTCAAAACTGCTGAGCCATCTCTACAGGCAGTTCAGCACATGGAGAAAACTGCATTGTCACTGCAGCCAGCAACCACGATATCCCAAACACAAACAAAAAGAGAAAAACTGTATTCTTAAAAGGTAGGAGCATAAACTAGAGATGTGGAAATCAGGTTGCTGTGACTGGAAGAATGGTCTTGTGCCTCAGTTCTTGTGCTTCCTCTGTGACCTTGGGTAATCACTTACTCTCTCTGTGCCTTAGTAAAACAGGGGTGATAACACATCCATACTTGGGGACAATGTGTGTTATAAAGATAAACTGGAGAACTCTGATTGCAGTTAAACTAAAAGGACTTTCCTTCTCACTGCATGGGACTCTGCTTGTTATGCCATTTGACAGTTTGATGCCATTAAAGGTCTGTCTTTTTAATGAGAAGGGGAATGTGCTTTATTTTTGTGGATAGCTGTAGGTGGATTGCTTTTCTCCCAGGTACCCACCCATGTTTTCAGTGGGATGAGCTTCAGGAAGTTACTGCCTCTACATGGATGATCAAACTCAATGATGCAGTAAAGAGTCAGGGAGAAAGGCAAGAAAAGGCCCACAGTTTGCCATATACCTATGAATTGCAAGGCTTTCCATCATTCATCAGAATAAATTAGATGTTCCCAGACTGATTTACACTGAAGTCTTGTAAAAAGTGAAATTAGGCAACAACTGTAAAGAAACTATAAGAAAGGAAATTGGCAAATAGCATAGCACGTTTTGCGCCTTAGGCAGTGGTTGGTTTTAATGTGCCAAGCATCCTCAGTGCCAACATATCTGTGTAGATGTACCAAAATAATATTTTGCATCTTTTAATTCTAGAATTCAATGTGAATAGCATGAACCAGATGGCCAAAGCTTCTGCAAAACGCACCTACAGTCTGCCTGGATGGCCTTTCTCCCAGCTGGAAATCATCGCATCTAAAATGACATATTGCTTCAAAATCTTGTAGCAGCCAAAAGAACTTCCCTGCAGAAAAAAAATGTACAAAATATATGGTGCTGCCATGGAAACATACACCAGCACTATGAAGGATACCCAGGGCCCCACCAAAGTGCTAAAATTATTGCAAGTTTGTAACTGCATACTCTCATTTGCTTGTACTTTCATGCAGCCTTTGTAATTTGCTGTGAAATGCTCTGTTCTGATTTTGTAGAAATAATGCTGTCCCCAAAAATTATGAGGAATGTATATGCATTCCCTGAAAGCCAGCTGACTATGTAAGCCAAGAACATATGATAGTAATGGTTGTGAGGGGATATTTCTGTTTCACAATCATCCTGATGCGTATGAGCATATCTAACTTTCACTGGCAATTCAAAAGGAAAAGGTGCTAAACGACCATAAAAAAACAAAAAGCATTAAGGAATGTTGATCATAAATGTGAGTGGTACTGTATATGGTGGACTGAGCAGGGTACATGACAAATTGAGCAGAAGAGAAAAACTGGCCTTGTCTTGTGGACACCAGTATGGTTGTGTGGTAAACTTCGTAAAGGTGGAGCTTTTTTATTTGCATGTAAAGATGGCAGCAGTGCTATTCCCAGTATTAAGTTCCTGATATAATTTGTGTTTCACTCTTTCAACCGGATCATAGACAATTCCCTGTTAAGGATTCTGTGGGCATATCTACACGAGATGCTAACTGCGCAGTAGCCTAATAACACTGTGCAGTAGCATGTCACAGCATGGACAGAGCTAATGTGCTACCGCACAGTATTATTAAGCTACTGCACAATAGCATCACTAAAACGGTGTTTGCTGGCATTAGTGAGCAGTAACTCTAATTACTGTGTATTTACTTAGTACTTGATTGTACAAATACTAAATTAAATGCATAGTAACCACTGACATACAAACAACTAGAACTCTTGGTTCCAAAATACCTTTTATTAAACCAACTGGGAAATCGCAAGAAAATTGTCCTTTTCTGCAAGCTTTCGAGATCAAAGTCACTTCGTCAGGCTCTGGGAAAAGTATAGATCATGGGTCAGCAGCCCCCGGCGCACATGCCGAGCATGGCATGCAAGGCCATTTTGCTTGGCACACCACTGCTGGCCCGGGCTCTAAGCAGCTGCTGCCAGCTACGGAGCCCAGGCTGCTCCTAGCAGGCAGCTGGGAGGCTGCAAGCCCTGTTGCAAGCAGACTGGGCTCCATGGGCCGGCTGCAGCCGGGAGGCTGCAAACAGTCGCTCCGGGCTCCGGCATGTCTGCACTCTGGCACCTTCCAAGGTAGACGTGGTTTTTTCAGCACTCCATCCAAAAAACATTGCCTACCCCAGTATAGATGGTACAAGATGGTACAAAGAAAATGTCTTTACCTCCCTGCCTGCCATCTGACACCTCCAGGGAAGGAATTCTACCAGATCTACACATCAAAGAGCTACTCAGCACAGCTCACAAAGACACTCTCATGAACCCAGAGGGACAGCCTTCCATCTTCAGCTTCCTCTGCACAAAAATGAAGTTTATTTCCTACCTATTAGAACTTTTTACCATCTTGTACGATCTATACTTTTCCCAGAGCCTGACAAAGGGACTTTGATCCTGAAAGCTTGCAGAAAAGGACAGTTTTCTTGTGATTTCCCAGTTGGTTTAATAAAAAGTATCATTTTGGAACCAGGAGTTCTAGTTTTTTGTATGTCTTTTTGTCTCAGACCAACACGGCTACCAAGTACACCCCTAGTAGCCAGTGAGCATTTATATATGTGTAGATGCACTCTGTTTAGTGTTATTCCCAAAGGCTAACACTGGATTACCCATACTGGACTATGCAATCCTCAGTTAGAGCCACCACTAAGGAAGAAAAAAAACCCTCCTGACACTATTACTACACCATACATACTGGTCACTTATGAGGAAGTAACTAGGAATGAGTGAAAAGAATGAGTTGGACAAGGCAGAAACAGATGAGAGGTTTCAGTGCCAAGAACAGGGAGAAGAAATTATGCCAGACAATGGAAGGAAACAAAGGATTAGTTTTGGGGGTGGGAAGGGAGCTAAGGAGCCTGAGAATGTTTAAGGGAAATAGTGAGACACAGCAAGGAGGGACTATGTGAAGAGATATATGTTGGAAGAAGGTGGTTGCATCACATTTGCAATTCCAATGGTCACATGGCACAGCTATTTGGAGTATTTATAATCACCTGTTTTTAAGGAGGAAAGCTATAAAGTTACAAGTTGAGTGTAATTCAGTATATGTATATACACTGGTTCTAGTATGGGGAGATGATTTCTCTAACGTCAAGGACATAAAAGGTATAAAAAAAGATGGATGGCTATTTTGAAGGTTTATCAATTTCTTTAATCCACATTGTTTCTCTATATTCATAGTCCCACTTGGACTTGAGATGCAGAGTTTTGCTAAGTTTTCAGAAACGAAGGAGATGATAAGAGGCAGGGGACAGGGATGTCAGATCTATGCAACTGGGTTATTAAAATTTGGGTTATTAAAAGGGACCCTTATTCTATCCTGTTTTTGCAGAGTGTAGGAAAAAAGGAATATTTTAGGTTCAGCTGCAGTCTGGTAACATGAGCATTTTCACTTCTGAAACCATTTCAGATTGTTCAGCAGAAGATTGATGATTTTAATTGTGTCTTTATAATCTTAATATTTCTGGTTATTCTTATTATGTTATTTAAATTGAATTGTGACTAGTGGCCACAACTGAAATTAAAGACCTATAGTGCTAGGATTCATACAGGCATGTAAAAAAAATTATTTCCTGGCCAGAGTGTTTTATGATCAAAGCCCCTAGTCCTGGAAACATTTTCCTGTGTACTTAAGTTTACACACTTGAGTACTGCACTGAAGCCAGTTTGACTACTTACACACATGAAATTAAGCACATGTATAACTATTTGCAAGATTAAGGCCAATTTAGCAAAATAGTCAACCATGCGCTTCATGTCAGGCATAGGCATAGTTCTATTGAAACCAGTAAGAACTACTTAGGTTTTGAAATTAGGCATATGATTTTAAGTACCTTGCTAAATCAGGGCCTAAGTAGACAGCACAGAGAAAAGGCAAGTGAGAGTATTATTAAGTCCATTTATTTTAACAGAGTGGAAGCACTTCGGCACTATTTCACCAAAAGCATAAAAAGAGGTTGAGCGAACGAAAAGCTTTGGGAGTTGGCATCTGTTTTATTCTATATCTGTAAAGCTTCCAAAACACTTAGGTGCCATATGAAAATAAATAAAAATTACTACAGTAAAAATCTATTAATAGGACTTTAGCTATCTTTGTGCATGTGCTGTGGGAGGCTCCAGCTCTCTGGTAGCCTTGTTTATTCCACCTAACTCATATAATCCAGGCCTATTCTGAGAGGTAGTGTGTTCCCCAGGGGAGGCATAAACATGTGTCCCTATTATAAACTTCTGAGTTAAAAGGACATTAGATTTGTATTAATTATGAAATATTAGCTTTAGTGGCTGGTGGCACCTGGTTCCTCAATCCTGTCCTAATCAGTCGTATACCACAGCATTGTTATATGGCATTAAATAAATCAGTCATTCGAATTCTGCAGTTGATGCCTTTATTATGCAAGTTCAAAGCAATCACATAATAGTATAATGTTCTGTCAAACATTTCGAAGTATATTACCTATGAGATACAGAGCTGAGTTTTCTCTTCTTTGCACTCGAACAGAGGTCTCACTCTCTCCTTGTTTTGGAATCAAGCTTGTTGCTAAGGGCTGGAGTCTATTCCATCTATTAGGTGGATAACTGCTTAAGTGTAATTCTGTTCCACCCTTCTCAAGGCCGTGAAAAACTACTAATATGAAAGCTGGAACCATTTAGAAGCGGCACACCAAAATAACACAGCTCAGTTCAAAACAGGCTGCCCATTGCAACTCGCTTCACCCCCTACCCCCTCACTGGTGAATTTTCACTGATGCAGTTGCCACTGC